TTATAAATGACGCAATTATCACTATGAGGGCTGTTCCTTACTAATAGCTTACCAACAGTGTTTTCGTAGCTAAACATTACATCTATATTAAAAAGTTTCAAGGCCTTGACAATATTCTCAAACCCAGAGAAATATGGTAAACATAACACATTCTTTGGGCGAATCCTTTCACTGCATACATTATTATAATATGTACGACGAGCTTTGTTACGACAAACTTCCAAAAAATTCAGTGGGTAACAAAGCTTAAGACCAATCGAATCAATATTCTTAAATTCTTCATCTAAGAATTCTGGACTCACAACTCGAAGAGCTCTTAGATACATTGAAGAAAAAATTGACTTTTTTACATTGTATTTATGCCCTGAAAAATAATGAACATAAGATAAATTGTTCGTAGGTTTTCTGTAAACACTAAACTTTAATGAAGAGTTTTCGATATGAATAAGCACATCTAAGAATGGCAAACATTTATCAATTTCAGTCTCCATAGTAAATTTTATGGAGGTGACTTGGTCATTAAGTTTGGCTACAAATTCGTCTGTGTTTACATCTGAAGGCCAAATACACAAGATATCATCAACATATCTAAACCAAGGAATGATTCCAGGAGTTATTTTTGAAACAAATTTCTTTTCAAAGAATTCCATGTACAGGTTTGAGAGCAATGGCGAAAGAGGATTCCCCATTGCCATTCCAAAAGTCTGTAAATAATACTCATTATTAAAGGTAAATTTACATTCTTTAATGCACAACTTAACAAGACTGACAATAATATCAGCAGAAAGAGGTAAGTCATGGCTCATTAGTTCACGAGCAAGATAATCGAGAATATCATCGACCGGTACCTTAGTGAACAAGGAACAAACGTCAAAACTGATTAACTTTACATCAGGAGTGACAGGAACACTATTCAATTTGTTAACTAAATCAAGAGAATTTGTCAAATGAGAAGAGGAGATAGTTCCTAACAAAGGGGACAAGATTTTGGTAAGCCATTTGGAGAGTTTGTAAGAAATGGATCCCACAGAACTGATGATAGGTCTCATGGGATTGTTAGGCTTATGCGTCTTGACAAGACCATATAGATATGGTAATGAAGGTGATGAAGTAGTAAATTGATTAAGAAGATCTTTATGTTTACTTAACAACTTCCTCAAGCTACTATTGAAGAACTTGATGATGTCCTCAAGAGGATTTTTCCTAAGCTTAGTGTACGTTGAAGAATCTAGGAGGAGATCATTCATTTTCGAAATATATTCCTCCTTGTTTAAAATAACAATAGTGCTGGATTTATCAGCCTTTGTTATATGAATGGAAGGATCGGCTCTTAACTCCTGTAAGCTTCGTCTGAATCTTTCGGGAAAATTGTTTGTTTGGGTTTGTTTAGGTTCACAAAACCTAAACCTGGTTAAAGGTATTGTTTATGGTTCAATGTTGACGCCCCAAACAAACAATTTTCCCGAAAAATTCAGACGAAGCTTACAGGAGTTAAGAGCCGATCCTTCCATTCATGCATTCGATCCTTCCATTCACTTGAGCGCGTTTCATAAAACTTATTACATTTTCAAAGACTTTAGTGTGTCGCGTCAGACTAGAAATAAAAATGAATTTTGGAGAATTGATTTTTGAATTACCACCAACAGTGAAAAGAAATGTACGAAAGATTGAGAAAATTCGTGTTTGAATTATTAATCTTACTTTTTCGGTCATATTTAATAATATATGTCTACAGGAAAGACTGCCACCAAAATATACTAATATATATATATATATATATATATATATATATATATATATATATATATATATATATATATATATATATATATATATATATATATATATATATATATATATATATATATATATATATATATATATATATATATATATATATATATATATATATATATATATATATATATATATATATATATATATATATATATATATATATATATATATATATATATATATATATATATATATATATATGTCGTACCTAGTAGCCAGAACGCACTTCTCAGCCTACTATGCAAGGCCCGATTTGCCTAATAAGCCAAGTTTTCATGAATTAATGTGTTTTCGACTTCCTAACCTACCTAACCAAACCTAACCTAACTTTTTCGGCCACCTAACCTAACCGAACCTATAGAGATAGGTTAGGTTAGGTTAGGTAGGGTTGGTTAGGTTCGGTCATATATCTACGTTAATTTTAACTCCAATAAAAAAAAATTACCTCATACATAATGAAATGGGTAGGTTTATCATTTCATAAGAAAAAAATTAGAGAAAATATATTATTTCAGTAAAACTTGGCTTATTAGGCAAATCGGGCCTTGCATAGTAGGCTGAGAAGTGTGTTCTGGCTACTAGGTACGACATATATATATATATATATATATATATATATATATATATATATATATATATATATATATATATATATATATATATATATATATATATAAACCACAAGTGAAGATTAACAATCTTTGGACAACACCCACCAGTGGGCCTCGAACCCAGAAAGCACAACTACCTTCCAGTAGCTGCCCTAACTAGTAAGCCTTAACCTACTACACCATCAGACCCTTAAAAGAAGTGGAGACTTCGAGATATATATACATCTCAAATATCTCCACTTCCCAAGGGCACTAGGCGTTAGTAACGCATAGTAACCTCTCACTTGTCTAGTGCCCTTGGGAAGTGGAGATATTTGAGATGCATATATATCTCGAAGTCTCTACTTCTTTTAAGGGTCTGATGGTGTAGTGGGTTAATGCGTACTAGTTATGGCAGCTACTGGAAGGTAGTTGTGCTTTCTGGGTTCGAGGCCCACTGGTGGGTGTTGTCCAAAGATTGATATATATATATATATATATATATATATATATATATATATCTCCACTTTCAGTTGCATATTGTACTGGGGAATATTCAGGCTTGTTCGCATATATATATATATATATATATATATATATATATATATATATATATATATATATATATATATATATATATATATATATATATATATATATATATATATATATATATATATATATATGTGACGATAATCTCCTTCAAAAGAGATTGAGCCTGCTCTTCCCTCCTAAGTTCGTCGCTATACATCCCTATACAACTAATATGGAAGAAATATCCAACAAGTACAACTCCAAGGTTTGCCAGAGAGCAAACGTATTCAGCACCAGGAACACCTGCTCCGCCTCCACCACTCGAACCACCAAACTACCTGTCCGTCGCCTGCTCATCGCTGATTGGCTGGTGGTCAGTCGCGCCTGCTCCTCCACCGCCACACTACCTGATGTCTGGGGCCACACGACCTGCAGACCTCAGAATATCCAGTGCTTTCAACAAGTTAACACGTCTCGTTGGTAAACTAAGCTCTGGCTTACGTGTACTAAGAGAGGTGGCAGCTTAAAGCCAATATTCCTGCACCCATATTTTGCATTGTATATTGTTCACTTGTTATTACTCACTTGTCTTAACGTAACTTTTCATTTTGTCATTTGATTATTCTTATTATTTTGATTGATTGATTTTATGATACGAATTTTATGTCCATTTTATTCATGTTTTGCTTTTCTAACGTAATTAAAATCTCATTGTTAAATTTACTTGTGTTTTGTGTGTCTTCCCATTACCTTACCACAGACGAAGTTCCAGATTTTCTCTTTTTTGTTTCTATATGTGACGAGGCCATACCCCTAGCTTTTGAAACAGCCGAACACCAACGCGTTACCGTCACAATATATATATATATATATATATATATATATATATATATATATATATATATATATATATATATATATAAAATAATAGAAGGGAGTACCACCTCTAGCTGGAAGAAGGGGGACCCATAGCCTCGGAGGAAACCACGCATAACGCATTAGAGGGAATGTTTAGATCCCCTCCAATACAGTTTCTGTGTGCTTTTCTCCTACCACCCCCTTCCTTGAATATTTTTGTGCTTTATTATGCATTTGATGGTTACAAGATATACATGGGTTGATACAAAAATAATAATGCAAAAAGGTGCTTAAAGGTTATATATATATATATATATATATATATATATATATATATATATATATATATATATATATATATATATATATATATATATATATATATATATATATATATATATATATATAGTCATATATGTTTACTAATTCATTACCAACATGGCAGACACTGAACCACAATAACCTGCCTATAAAAGTCACTTGCTAACCCTGTTCCAGGATTACTTCCGAAACCTTGTCGTTTTTTCATTTTCATGGGTTGATACAAAAATAATAATGCAAAAAGGTGCTTAAAGGTTATATATATATATATATATATATATATATATATATATATATATATATATATATATATATATATATATATATATATATATATATATATATATATATATATATATATATATATATATATATATAGTCATATATGTTTACTAATTCATTACCAACATGGCAGACACTGAACCACAATAACCTGCCTATAAAAGTCACTTGCTAACCCTGTTCCAGGATTACTTCCGAAACCTTGTCGTTTTTTCATTTTCTGATGTGTGGTTTTAATACTGTTACCAAAATTACTTGGGTAACTGAAATTAAATAACTGACAACTGGTAACAGACAATTAATTTTTGTCCTATTTTGCAGTTCTTAATGGTATGCTCTGTGTTTGAGCTATAGGGAATTATCAACACTTGTAGCATTAGTCTGGTAAAAATTTGCTTTGGCAACTTTTAAAGCTTCACCATAAAACCAACTAGATAATTCTCCATATTTTTTTTATATTCGCAATGCTCTTGGACTGTCAGTGCTCATAGGAAAAGATCCCAAGCAACATTTACTTCTTACTTTCTTTGCATGATTGGTAAGGTAATGAAGATAGCTACTTGTACATGTGATGAGAGAAGCATGGGTGAACTTACAGTAAACATTTTGAATACTTACTATGCGGCCAGGTATCGTGGTCTCGGTCCAAGGTAGAGAAGCTCATGCCGTCCATGCTAGCGTCTGCTGGTCCAGTGAGCGCGTCGCCCAGGGTACTAGAGGAGACGTAGCCTCTCAGGGTGGCTCGATACCTGAAATACAGATGGTTCTGGCTTATCTCTACTAACATAAGGCAACACCTCTTAACTCAAAAGGAGGTTGAGAATTAGGAGAGAGTAGAGTTATGTGGGAAGAGGGAGAGTGAGTAGTTACTAGGGCTGGAGGAGAGGGTAGAGGCGCTTTGTAGCGACGAATCTCATTGACCATAACATCGCCAACCGGTTTATCTAATATTCTGGAAGATATAGAGGCTAGAGATATAGAGGGTAGAGATATTCGGGAAGAGGGAAAGAGTACAGTTATGAGGGAAAAGAGAGAGAGTAGAGATATGAGGAAAGACAGAGAGATTAGAGTTACGAGGGGAGAGGGAGAGAGAAGAGTTATGATGGAAGAGGGAGAGAGAAGAGCTATGAGGGAAGAGGAAGAGAGAGTGTGAGAAAAGGTCAGGAGAAAGATTGAAAAGAGAGAAGAGAGAGAAGGTTGTAAAGGAAGAGGAGGAAAGAGTTATGGTAAACGGAGACGAACAAAGACTGTATGGGAGGATGAAAAAGAAAAGTTATAAAGTAACAGGAAAGAAAAAGTTGTGAAGTTGACCAGACCACACACTAGAAATTGAAGGGACGACGACGTTTCGGTCCGTCCTGGACCATTCTCAAGTCGATTGTCTCAAGTAAGTTTCTCAAGTAAGAAACGTCGTCGTCCCTTCAATTTCTAGTGTGTGGTCTGGTCAACATACTTCAGCCACGTTATTGTGACTCATCGCCCGCAAAAGTTGTGAAGACAAATGGAATGAAAATTTGTACCGGAACAGAAAAAGAGAATTTGTGATAGATGAAGGAAATTGTAAAAGAAGAAGAGTTAAATTGTGATGGATGAATAAAAGAGAGGAAAGGAATGGCACCGCATGGGAGTGGAAAGTGAATGTGGTTGCAAGAAATGTAGTTACCGTTGAGAGATGTTAATATTGTGTTTGATATTGGTTCACATCTAGTTTTGCTTGCGGGGATTGAGCTTCGGGTCTTTGGCCCTGCCAACAACTGGTGTACAGATTCCCTGAGCCTATTGTGTTCTGTTAATCTACATTTGAAACTGTGTATGGAGTCTGCCTTCACCACATTACTGCCTAATGCATTCCATTTGTTAACAACACCACTGAAACTGAAACAAAAATTATAATGACTCTGTGGCTCATTTGGGTACTCAGTTTTCACCTGTGTACTCTTGTGTATATTCAGTCGAGGAAAAGAATTCCTTAATTATCCTTCCCCCCCCCCCCCACCCCACCAGTTTCTCCGAAAATGCAGAAAAGCAACGTCGCGTTTGTTATTTTTTGGGTTACAGATATTAGAAACAGGATAGGTCCAAGTACAGATTGTGTGTTGTGTGTGTTTTTTATTGTTTCTGTTGCGTATGTTTGTTGTTGTCTCTGTTTTGTGTGATTTATGGTGTTGTTGTTATGTGTGTTTTGTATTTTCACTGTAGTGTGTGTGTATGGCGTTGTTACCCTTGTGTGTGTAGTTGTCTCTGTTGTGTGTGTTTGGAGTTTTCACTGTTGTTTGTGCTTGGTGTTGTCTCTATTGTATGTGTTTGGTGTTGTTACTGTTTTGTGTGCTTGGTGTCTGTGTTTGTTGTTACTGTTGTGTGTGTGTTTGGTGTTATTACTGTTGTGTGTGTGTTTGGTGTTGTTACTGTTGTATGTGTTGTGTGTGTTTGGTGTTGTTACTGTTGTGTGTGTTTGGTGTTGTTACTGTTGTGTGTGTTGTGTGTGTTTGGTGTTGTTACTGTTGTATGTGTTATGTGTGTTTGGTGTTGTTACTGTTGTGTGTGTTTGGTGTTGTTACTGTTGTATGTGGGGCCACGAAAGCCTGGTGGATAGCGCGCAGGACTCGTAATTCTGTGGCTCGGGTTCGATTCCCGCACGAGGCAGAAACAAATGGGCAAAGTTTCTTTCACCCTGAATGCCCCTGTTACCTAGCAGTAAATAGGTACTCAGGAGTTAGTCAGCTGTCACGGGCTGCTTCCTGGGGGTGGAGGCCTGGTCGAGGACCGGGCCGCGGGGACACTAAAAAGCCCCGAAATCATCTCAAGATAACCTCAAGAAGATGTGTTGTGTGTGTTTGGCGTTGTTACTGTTGTGTGTGTTTGGTGTTGTTACTGTTGTATGTGTTGTGTGTGTTTGGTGTTGTTACTGTTGTGTGTGTTTGGTGTTGTTACTGTTGTATGTGTTGTGTCTGTTTGGTATTGTTACTGTTGTGTGTGTTTCGTGTTGTTACTGTTGTATGTGCTGTGTGTTGTTACTTTTGTGTGTGTTTGGTGTTGTTACTGTTGTGTGTGTTTGGTGTTGTTACTGTTGTGTGTGTCTGGTGATGTTACTGTTTTGTATGCTTGGTGTTATAACTGTTGTCTGTGTTTGGTGTTGTTACTGTTGTGTATATTTGGTGTTATTCCTGTTGTGTGTGTTTGATGTTGTTACTGTTATATGTGTTAGGTATTGTTTCTGTTGTGTGTATTTGGTGTTGTTACTGTTACTGAAAGATATGTCTTAGGAAAAGTTCTTATTATTTAATGATGGTAATGCAGTATTAAGTTGATAAATGATGAAGAGTAACTTGTAATGCCTAAATACTATTCGTTACAGAAACGTTACAAAATGTAACTGTTATTAAATATACTGGATATTACAAAAAGTTAGATATGATACAGAATGATTGATATGGTAAGTTTTGCTGTTAATACATAAAAAAGAAGTGAAAGTTATACTGGCTACTGCATAAGAAAGTTAAAAACAAGTTGAACTAGTTATTAAATATAGTTTTTACCATCTTAGTTTTTTGTTATTAAAGAGCAGTGATGGTAGTTCTGATACGGTCTAGAATGAATTTCTTAGTAAGTATGTTATGACTTAAAACAGCAGTGTTAGTTTAGAAATGATACAGAAGGATTGACTCGGTTAAAGTATTTTCTAATAAAAGTTTTCCCTAAAAAGATTTTGTTAACGGGCAAAAAAGTTACTTTTTATTAAAAAGTTATAACTATCACCATCAAAGAAGGTATGTTACGTAAAGATTAGCCTAGTTATGATACAGAGAAAATAGATGCAACTCAAAATAATGTGTCATTATTAAAATATTATGTTTTGTCTTAGTGAAGATGCCATAATCTTTTATTTCATAAAAGTTGCTGGTACATTACAAACCGTCCACAATTTCGGTGGTCTGCTTCACTCAAGTGATATATTTAATACTCAAAACAAGGGCGCACCAAACTAATTGATATTTCCTTTAAGGACCTTAGCAAATTCTTCAGCTAGAGCTGGGAACCTTAATAAAGAGTTATTCAGCAGCAGGTATGGTATCATGTATTTCTGTTGTTAATGCAAAAACAAAATACTGTACTTATATAAAATTCTATCCAGTATATTAGTCACTATTAACAACCATATCTGTTCATTTATTCATGACACAAATTTCATAATATCTGGTATATCTAAAAAAAAAATTGTTTTTTTTTCTTTTTTCCTCTGTTTTCTATACTCTTTTCATAACTTATCTTTGCATTTCATATTTATTTTGTAACTCTTTATGCTAAATCGACAAATTGTTGTCACAGACTTTTCTCATTCCTAATGTGTGTGTATATTACCGTATATTTTTCAATAATTATTTTCTTCCATGGTTTAACTATTTTGTGTTATTATTATTGCACCAAATACATGTATTTGGTATACAACGTTCATGGGCATTCTTAAATAGAATTCATATTTGTTTTAATTTGCAACAACATTATAATCCGGAGTCAAGCCTCAAGCTACTTATGAGGGGGGCTGGTCCTGGCATGTTTTATTTCAAGTGTTATTCAAACTTATTTACCAGTTTGGACTTAACTTACAATGGAAGCAAACACTAACCTACTAGTGAACTAGAAAATATTGTCAAATTCATTAGGGAAGAATATGCATGGAGCTACAAAGCTACTATTTAAAAAATCAATAAAATTTGCTCCTAACTGTCAACCAAGACTGCAAAATCAGAGTGTGAATATTGTTGTACCTAAATTTAACTGAACGGCACCATCTCTCTAGTAATCTAGTAAGGAAGCCGTTATCATGCCAATGGGCTCTTTCATTGTTGCTGAGAACTTTTTCCATCTGGATTTTAAAATGAAATAAAATATTTAAATTTTCAGCTTCAGTGCGTAGGAAATTACAAAGGTTTATATCGCTTATTGATGGAAAACATCTCCTGTTTTGGTCTTAAATTGCTTCTGTTTGAACATGAGATGTTGCCTCTTGTATGCATTACATTTGAATTTGCAATGAAATTATCTAGATTAAAACTCTCAAACTATTTAAATATTTTAACGGTGTCGATAAGATCAGCTCACTCATTTCTGGTTTGCAGACATGACAGCCCTGCGGCCCTTAACCATTCCTGGTTTGAGAATTGACATAGTTCTGGGATGATTTTTATGTCTGTGTTGACGTTTCTGCAAATATAATATTTTTGTTTTGTTTCGAAGGTGAGGTCTCCATGCAGTGATACAGTAGCTCAAATGGTAGTGTACCACAGACTTCAACAATTATTTAATCACTTTCTTTTTGTGGAAGCCATAAGTTCTTTTAACTTTTCCTAGGGTTAAGTTGCCTTCTTTACTGCAACTCCCTCTTGTTGTGTAACTTTCAGTGACTTACAGTGTCCAGTTTCTTACATCATATCTCCTAGGTCTTTTTCTTCGTCAATCTACTGCAATGCAGTGTTGTTAACATGATCGTATGATCATGTTGTTAACATGATAACATGTTGTTTCCAGTCGTATGCCAATGTGTAGAGTTTATGACACATTTTCGTAAACATTATGATCTCTATTTATAAATAGAGATCTATTTGAAAGTTCTCGCTTCCTACGTTACCATAGATATTAATAATGAAATCAAATTAACGTGATGAATCAATGAGAAAATCAATAGAAGCCATAGGGCGGATTCAAACCCGCTCACTCCCAAGCAAGTGCCCTAGACCAGCACGCCAAG